AGCCCCCATCCAGCCGAAGTCGGGAACGAGGTTTCCATGGGGGGCAGTGGAGCGGGAGCCCGCCCCAGCCCGCCCCTGGGCGGGTGTCTTCGGTAGACAATGGCTCAGGCAGCAGAGCCTCGAGGACCAGGAGGGAGAAAAACAAGTCAGGAGGGGGCGGCGGCGCCGAGCCTGGGGACCCCTGCCCTCCCCATTGTGTCTCCCCGAGACCCGCGCCCCAGTCCCCCCCACTTTCCTCCAGAAACGCCGACCCCAGGTCGCCTAGCCCCCCACATCAATCCAAGGAACAGAATGCACCCGATTCACTAGCAACGCGAAGAGGAGGCTAGGGTCGGGGGCCTGATAGCGGGGCGCAGGCCCACGATCGTCGCCCCTCCGGACTGAGACTCACCCTGCGGGCTGGGGGGCTCCGGCGGCGACTTGCCGGGAGCCCGGGAGGCGCCGCCGAGCAGCAGCCCCAGCAGCGGCAGCAGCCGCGCGAGGACGCTGGGGCCATTCGGCGGCGGCATCGCGGGGCTCCGCCCGGCCCTAGCGGTCCATAGCTGCCGCCCGGCCCGGCTCGGCCGGCCCCGCTCAGCCCCAGCTCTGCGCTGCGACGCGCCGCGCCGCGCCGCTCGGCTCCCGCTCGGGCTGCGGCGCTCACTCAGCGCGATTGTCTCCGCCCGGAGCCGCCGCCAGCGCCCCCTGCAGGCGGTGCCCCGCACCGCGAGTCTCTCGGCACCGCCCCCTCGCGGCCCCACTCCGCCCGCAGCTCACCAGCACTGCTCGCCTGCGGTGGATCCCGCCAGCCGACCACCCCGCGCTCCCAAACTCTGAGCTGCAAGCGAATGTAGCAACTAGAGTCAAAGGGTTGAAGTTTGAGAGCCTCTGAAATTTGGTGCAGAATATGGGGTGGGGGAGAATGGCTACTGCTTACTCTCAAAGGGGTACGGTCATGAGTGTCTCAAAAAAGTGTTAACTCCCTGCTCCACTGCCCCTGTTCTCTCCAGACAGGCATCCACGCGGTGATAGGGGGGCTGCACTCTCTACCACTGGGAATCACATCTGGTGTCTCGTCTAGTCTATCTTTTATTGAGCCACAGGCAAGTTATTTGGCCTTCTGAGCCTCAGTCATCTTTCAAATGGGAATTGTTAAGCAGGGCAGCCGTGGCTCAGGCCTATCCTCGGGACTCCGGAGGCAGAGATCAGGAGCATCGCGGTTCGAAGCCAGCGCGGGAAAATAGTTCTATCTCGAAAACACCCAACACAAAAAAACAGGGATGGTGGAGTGGCCCAAGATGTAGAACACCTGCCTACTAAGTGCGAGGCCATAGGTCCAAACCCCAGTACTGCCAAAATAAAATGGGAATTGTAATAATCTCTACTTGGTAGGGTGGTGCAACAATTAAATGAGATAATAATGGATAGTCTAGCAAAAAAAGAAAAAAAAAGATGCTGTTGTTGCTGCAGGGTGAGGTGGGGCTCACCTTCCCTTAGGTAATGAGACCCTTTCTGGGGCAGCCATCATGGCTAGGAAGTTCTGGAGGTGGAAGTAGATTTCTCTCCCACTGAGAATCACCCATTGGTCCCACTGGTTCTGGCTTCGTCATTGAAGCCCACATTTGAACACTAGCCCCAGCCAACCTTTCATTCCAGTTCATTATTCAGTTGTCAGCATCTCTCAGTTTGTTATGCATGGTCAAATCCTCATCTAACCAATCCTGTAACCCTCTCTTGGTTCTCTTTGGCTTGTCACCTTCTCTTTAGCACAATGTGGTGCCCAGGAGGGGTACCTACTTCCCCAGAGGGCAGTAGGCTTTCCGCTTGGTTTTGTCTATTTGTCGGATCTTCTGAATTAAGGGGCTTTTTTTTTTTTTTTCTTTTGGCAGTAAGGGGTTTGAACTCAGGGCCTTGCACTTACTAGGCAGGCACTCTACCACTTGAGCCATGCCTCCAGCAAATTAAGGGGATCTTACAATGATCTTATGGACAAAACCACCAGATTCACTTTCTTCCTTCTCTCTCTTTCTCTCTCTCATTTCTTCCTTCCTTTCTTCCCCCCTCATTTCTTGCTCTCTCTCTCTCTCTCTCTCTCTCTCTCTCTCTCGTAGCCCAGGCTGGCCTTGAACTCACAATCCCATCACTTAGACTCCTGAATAGCTAGGATGACACACATACCGCTGTGCTGGGCATCTCTTTCTTTTTAACAGAAATTTCTATCTAACCAGATTTTCTCATCCTATTTTATGTAACCAATTTTTTGGAATCTAGCACAGGATTTAGCACTTTTCCTGGTGAATTTCATCTTGTTGCTTTCAACCCAACTTTACAATCTGTCAAGGCTGCCTTGAATCTGCTTCAGTCACCCATTGTATTGCCCTTCTCCCCAGCCAGCAACCATCTGCAGGGTGCAGAGTGTCTTCCTCTGCCTCCATTCAAGGAACTCATGACAATCAGGCAGCTGAGGGCTGGCATGGGGCTTGGAGACACCCCATGGAGATCTCCTTCAGTTTTATCAGAATTGGCCAGGTCTAAATCTAGGTCTCCATGAGCCAACTCACATTTCTGCTTTGTCTAGAAGGACAAATGCCAAATGCTTTGCTGGATCAAGATGTCTGGGGCCATCCAATTGCATGGATGGAGTAGGGAAAGAATGTGGCTGTTCAATGATCACAGCTTAATCTTTTATTTCTGACTTTTTGGCAGCACTGGGTTTTGAAATCAGGGTCTTGCGCTTGCTAGGCAGGTGCTCTGCCACTTAAACCACATCCCCAGCACTTTTTTGCTTTAGTTATTCTTAGGATAAGGTTTTGGTTTTGGTTTTGGTTTTTTTTTTTCAGTACTGGGGCTTGACCTCAGGTCCTACACCTTGAGCCACTCCACCAGCCCTTTTTTGTGATGATTTTTTTTTTTTGATGGTATTTGAGTTTGAACTAAGGGCCTCGTACTTGCTAGCAGGCACTCTACTGCCTGAGTCACTCCACCAGTCCCTTGTGATAGGGTGTTTCAAGATAGGGTCTCTCAAACTACTTGTCTGTGCTGGCTTTGAACCTTGATCCTCCCGATCTCTGCCTCCTGAATAGCTAGGATTACAGGCATGAGCCACTGGTGCCCTGCTTAAAGTCTTGAGTTTTTGCCCAGGGCAGGCCTCAGACCACTATCCTCCTACCTACAGGAGGATCCACCATGCCTGGCTTATTGAGATGGGATCTCTTTAACTTTGCCTGGGGCTAGCTTCAAATCTTGATCCTCTGGATACCCACCTCTCAAATAACTGGGATTACAGGCCTGAGCCACCATGCCTGGCCTGATCTTTTCTTAAATGTTCATAGTCACCCAACTGGAAACCTGTTCTGGAACTTGTATGCATGGATATCAAATGATTCTTTTCAGAATTTACCATTTACCCATTGGGTAAAATCAAGTACCTGCAGCTCCTGTGAGGTAAGTTTGTTTATTAATGGCTTTCCCCACCACTTAGCATCCAGTCCAAATTTCAACCCAGGCCCACACGTGTCCTTGCTTGCCTACCCTCTCTCTCTCCACTGCTTCTGACCTCATCTCCTGGACCCCTCAACACTGGCCTCCAGCCACATGGGCTGCCTGTTGTTTGAACATACAAAGTCTGCTCCTACCCCAGAGGCTTTTCACAGGCTGCTCTTTCTGTCCAGATCCCTTTTCCCCCATGCCACCAACATGACAAATTCCACCCTCTCTGCTCACCTCATGCCTTCTTGAAGCGTCCTCCAGAAAATGGCAGCCTTCTCCCATGCATTCTATCACTCTTTCCCTTGAGTTTCACTGACAGCACTGACCATCACTGACCACACATTTATATCTTGGTTTGTTCTTTTTCTCTAACGAATGTTAAGTCCCACAGGGCAGGGACTTTGCATTGCTCACTGCTCTACCCTGGCACCGGAATAGTCCCAGTACCTGGTAGATACTCAATAAATACCTATGGAACAAATGAATCAATGAATCTCTCTAGATTCCAGGGGACCCCCCCCACCTCTGTCTTCCAACTCCAATCACTGCTGCTGGAGAATTGTCTTCTACTCCTCACCCCTTTCCTAACAGAAGACCCTTTTCAGTGGGGAAGAAGGAACTGCAGCGGAGGGTCTGGGAGGGAGGGGACATATTTGCTATGTCTCTGATGTGACACTGTCCACCTCAGATTGAGGGCTCAGTCAGCCCCCTCCCAGCCCCTTCTCACTCCAAACACAGCTTGTCTTTCTTTCTTTTTGGTAGTACTGAGGTTGAGAATTCAGGGCCTCGCTGGTGGAGCGGCTCAAGTGTAAGAGCACCTGCCTAACAAGTGTGAGGCCCTGAGTTCAAACCCCAGTGCACAAAAAAAAAAGAGTTCAGGGCCTCAAGCTTGCTAGGCCAAGTGACTTGAATCATTCCACCAGCCCTGTTTTGTGTTGGGTTTTTCAAATACGGTCTTGTGAACTTTTTGCCTGGGCTGGCTTCAAACCTCTATCCACCTGATCTCTGCCTCTAGAATAGCTAGGATTACAGGCATGAGCCACCAGCGCCCAGCCAAATACAGCTTTAAAAGCCTGTTCTTAGGGGAGGAAGGCAGGGAGACCATGCTATTTTCTCAAGCCTCACACCATTTTGGAGTTTATGCTTCCAAAATCATGACAAACACACTGTTTAAAAAGCTGCCCAATGGGCTGGGGATATGGCTTTCCCGGTAGAGCATCTGCCTAACAAACTCAAGGCCCTAAGTTCAAACCCCAGTTTGGCAAAAAAAAAAAAAAGCTGCCTACAGGGGCCCAGCCTTCCTTCCCTGGGCTCCTAATCCCCATTCTAGCTACCCACCTACAGACATTCCCACCCTTGTGTCTCCTTCACACCTACTACCTCCACCCTATACTCCCTGAAGGTAATTTGTAACCTTCTCCCTGGCAGAGACCCACTCTGCCCAAACTTCCACCAGCCCTGGTCCCTACTCCAAACATCCCTCAGTCCCTTCTCCTCTGACCCCAAGAGGAGGCAGCACTTTGCATGTTGGAGGTCAGCCTCTTTATTAGGCAACAGGAAAGAAGGTAGGAAACTCTGTTGGGAGAAGAAGGACACAGGAGATCCCATGGAACAGCTCCAACCCACGGAGGTCAGAGCCAGGGGCAGCTGGCTGGAGATGAAGGGGCAGAGCAGGTGCCACCCCTAGCCTTCCTGCCAGAGGAACGATCACTCCTCCTCTTCACCTTCTTCCAGAGGTGGCCGATTCCGCTTGAAGAAGCCAACCTGGGGGTGCACAGGGGCGGGGTCGGGATACAGAGACCAGGGTATAGGCCCAGAGTATCAGTGAGGAAGTATGCTAGAAAGCAGCTAGTCACGAGGGCCTCTCCTGGATTAGAATTTGGGGCCCCACTGCGCATACAAATGGAGGACTTTCCCATTTACAGACAGTAGTGGATTTTAAAAATAGTGGGGTTTTCTCCTTTGAATTTTTTTCTGTAGTGCTGGGGATCGAACTTAGGGACTTGCATATGCTAGGCAAGTGTTCTATCACTGAGCTACATCCCTAGTCCCTGAATTTTTCTTAAACACTGGAGTTTATGATTCTACATGACTCAAGTACATGACGATATATATTTGTTTATTATGGGTCTAATGCATAGTTTCCTAAAAGGACCATGTCTTCCCAGGGCTCAGCACTGATCTCCAGCGCACGGAGTGATCCTCCAGATCCCCCTATGGAGTAAGGAACAGGGTCTGGACCAGTCCCTGCTCCCTCGGTCCCCCACCTCCACCTCACTCGGGGAGGACAGAGCTAGAGAAGGTGAGCCCTGTCCACGAGACTCAGGAATTTCTTGACGCAGACCCCAGAGTCTGTGACTTCCTCCCTGGGAGAAAGGGTCTGACCGCCTTAGGATTTCAGGTTCCACCCCTCCTAGGGGTGTTGTGCCCTGGAACAGTGCTCTGGGGAATGACATTGTAATAGGAGCTGGGTAGATGGGAAAGGTCCTGTGTCTCCCGGCCTCCTAGTCTGTACCTCTTAACCTGGGGGCTCTGTCATCTTTGCCACCTCACCTTCCACATGGCCAGAACCAGGAGTGTGAGCAGCAGCAGGCCGCCCAGTACACCCACCAGCACCCACCAGATCGGAATGGCTCTCTCCTCCAAGGCTCGAAGCAGCTGTGTCCGCACCTGGGGACAAACCCAGTGTCTCCTCAGTCTCTTGACACCCGCCTTTCAAAAAACTCAAACCTGGAGCCTGTGACAACCCCTCCATCCCCGCCACACACACACACACACACACACACACACACACACACACACACACACACACACACACACACACACACACACACACACACACACACACCACACACACACACACACACACACACACACACACACACACACACACACACACACACACACACACCACCACAAAGGGGGGAACTCACCAGCGCTTCCCCACTGGGCAGGCTGAGCGCCGGCACCTTGTACGGAAAGGACGAGACGTTGAACCACGCGTGCGACTGCAGCACAAACTGCTCCAGCGGCCTCTGCAGGCAGCGAGGGTGAAAGTCACTTACACCAGGCCTGTGGGTGGCAGCAGTCCAAGCCCTGGACTCCCGGCTGGGGAGCCCTGCCCCGGGCTTAACCCCGCCCCGCCCCCAAGGTAAATCTTGTCCTCTCTGCCCGCCCCGCCCCGGCCCCACGAGGCCCCGCCCCCGCCCCACAAAACCCCGCCCCGTCCACACAAAGGCCCCGCCCACCAGCTTCCAGCCCCACCTCGCGGAGGCTGGGCAGCTGCAGAAAGGCCCGCACTGTGACCATGGCCCGCTGCCCGCGCGTCATCTCCAGCAGCTCACACTGCACCACAGTACAAGGCGCCGAGTCGCAGCTCTGAGGGGACATGTCATCAGACCCCAGGGCCTCCTGCCCTACATTCCCACCTCACCCCGGGGACCCAACGCAGAAAGGGTCAGCAGAGTCGGAAAACTCGGACCTGCCCCTCCTCAGGAGTCTCGCATTCAAGCTTTGGGTGTCATCTCCAAGCATGAACCTTCAATACCCAGAATTTTAGTGACCTTGCTTTGTCATTTTAAAAATGTACTGAGAAGCTTAAAAAATGCAAGTGTCCCCCAGGCCACCCCAGATGCCAGCGAGCATCATCGATTTCACTTGGAGTGCTCTGAGAAAGCAAGGGTGGCTACATCACTCCCGCATTCCCTCTGCCTCCTGGGCCCCAGCGAGGCCCCAGCTGAGCCCACAGAGCCTGCTCACCACCAGTACTGGCTTCTGCTGCTCAGGCTGCTTGGGCCCTGGCAGGACCGCCTGTCTGCGCTCCCGCTTGTGATGGGCTGGGTGAGTGAGGGAAGGGCTGGGGGTGGGAAGCCTCCAGTCCAGCTGCAGGAACAAGGGCTCAGTCAGTTACCCTCTGGGGACTACGCTCCCATCCCTGAGGTGCCCTGCTCCATCTCCTACCTGGGCTCTCACCTTCAGGGGGTTGGGGGAGGGCTGTGGGGAGCACTGAAGCCCCCCCTGGGGCTGTATGTCCAGAATGTAGAGCAGATCAGAGGGCTGGGATTGGCCGGGGAGGTAGATACTGAGGTGGAGGCCCCCCACAGTGCCAGGGCCATCATTGTGGAGCTGGAGAGTGGTGACAGCAGGATGGCAGGTGGTTCAGCACCCAACTGGCAGCTTCCAGCACCTTCTCACCTAGCCCAGATCCTAGAGGCTCCTCCTTACCTCATAGGTGTGCTCCACTCTGGGAATCCAGCTGTCTAAGCTGTTCTGCTCCCTGTCACCTTCTTCTGCTGCCACCACCAGGGAGGCTGGAAAGGAGTTCCTGCAGGTGCCCAAGCTCCCAGAGTGAGTAGGACTTGTGGGGACCATCCAGGGCCTGCTGAACTTTATTTTTTTTTTTTTGGCGGTACTAGGGATGGAACCCAGGGCATGGTGCATGGCTAAGCATGTACCCTACCACTGAGCTACACTCCCAGCTTCTCCCCTGAACTGTAGCCCTGTTTGCCATCTCCCCTTTCCACATTGGCCTCTCACCCTCGAAGTTCTACTTTGGCACCTGCCCGGACTGGAACATTCAGCTGCACAGTCTTGCTGTTTGGATTCTGGCTGTTCTTGCTAGAGTGGAGGTGGTAGGAAGAAGCAAGTCAAGGATACCAGCTCAATGACTCTCTGGGGTGAGCCCAGAATTTTAGAAGGCTCAGGGAGAGCTACTAACTCCCCAACAGCATGACACACTGAAGTTAGACCTCGGAAAGAACTTTCTTTGCTCTAAGCTCCAATAATAGAAACAAGTCTTGGAAGAACAGGAAAAGGGAGATCTGAAGAGAAGACACCTGGGAATACCTTTCTGTGTTTGGAGGGTCTCTGCATAGGGGTCAGATGGGAGAAGGGAGCTGGGTGGTCATGTTCCCCAGTCTAGTACCTCCTGACCTGCAGCTGGAAGGACACATACTCTCCAGCCTCTTCTAGGTTCTCCACACTCACCAACATTGTAATTCTTATCTGGGAGACAGGGAAGGCCAAAGTCACTGATCACTCTGGGCAGCCCTACCCTGAATGTGACTTCTGGTCCTCCCTCCTCCAAAGCCACCCTTATTATCTCCGTTTTACCCATAAGCCCACTCAGAAAGGGAAATGCACACACTCAACCAGGAACATGCAGCTAGTGATCATGAGGACCAGGATTCAACCAGAGCTACCTGACTCCCACCCCAGCACCCCCTGCGTCTCTGAGACCTCACCTGGGCGCCCTTCTTCATGGGGTTCCCCAGCTCACACAGCACCACCCTGGTCTCGTTCTCCTTCTTCTGGTTACAGATGAGCCTCTCAAAGCCCTGTGTGAAGCCGTGGGGGACAGAGGTGGGTTGCAGGGCAACCCGTGTAGATTTGAAACCAGGGAAGTCTGCAGAAGATCTAGGTGCTAGGCTAAGGAGAGGCTTTGCTGGGCTGGGATTTCAAGGAACTGCTGTGTTGTACCTTCAGCACATTTTTGTTGTTATTATTGATGTTGTTTTGGGGGGTTTGGAGCAGTACTGGGGTTTGAACTCAGGGCCTCACACTTTAAGGTAGGTTCTGTACCACTTGAGCCACTCTACCAGCCCCTGGTTTGTTTTTTTGAGATAGGGTGTCACTACAGAGACTCAGAGGGGGCTAGGATTGCAGTCATGCATCATCATGCCTGGCAATCCTTTTTTTTAAATGAATTTTAATTTTGGAAATAAAAAGACAAAATATATAGCATGTAAGCCTGTGGTTATAGGCTAAGTCAACAAGTAAAAAATAAATATATACATATTTATTATTACTAGGCACCTGCCTAGTAAGTGCAAAGTGCTGAGTTCAAACCCTAGAACCACCAAAAAAAAAAAAAATTACATCTTTCCAGCAAAGCATAAAAGGAGTGGGAACTCTCAGGTGAGAGCTGGGAGTCAAGGTTCCCACACCTCCAGGTGTCTGGCAGTACCCCAGAGTGAGGGCCTCACCTCAATGTTGCTGAGGGCCCTCATATAGTGGGTGCCTGAAGGCAGGTGCACTGCCAGCTCTGCCTCATAGGCCCCTTCACCCTCGTTGGCTGCATCCATCTGCAGCTCCAGTACATTGTCAGCTCCGATTAGCAGTGGTGACCCCTTCCTGTGGAGAGGAAAGGTTGAAGCTATAGAGGTTGGGACCAGGCCTGGGGCTGGGAAGAGGAGAGGAGACTCAGGTGGGGAAGAGCTTTCATGGGTAGGAAAGGGTGGGGGATGTAGAGTGAAAGGTCCTCTCACATGGTGGCATTGAGCTGAAGCTGGGGAACGCAGAGGTCATCTTCCCCACAGTCCAGGATGATCCGGGTCTAAGGGACACATCAGGGTGTTGTGAGTAAGGGGCGGGGGGAGGGCATGTGAGGTTTGGGATCATATCAGGGTTAGGAGAACCATGGGCTCAGGATTTACATCAGAGCTTCTAGAATAAGGACCAGAGGATAAGGAGGGTGGAGAGGGTAGCAGGGATTTGCAGCTGTTGTGAAGGACTGGGACCATGTCAGGCTTTGGTGATGTCAGGGTTTATGAGTTTACAATAGAGTTTAGGGGACATTGAGATTTTGGGCTGAGGGGTGACATCAAGGTTTTGGGGGTTCATATTATGACTTGTGCACTATTCTAATCCTGCCCACCCATCAAGAGTTGTGCACCTCCTTTGCCTGGCCCCTGCCTGACGTCACCTGCTTCTGGACATGGGTAACTCCATGCAGCACAACAGCAAGGGCTGCTCCATTCTCCTTGGGAGGCAGGGACACATTGAGGCTGAGCACGATGGGGCTCAGCTTGTCCCGGAAGTCTGCCTCATCCTAGCAGAGGGGTAAGAGTTAGGTCATCCTGTGACCTGTGCATACCTCATCTTTGCTGGTGAGTAGGGACCGTGTCCTACTCACTACTACTGGCCCCACAGCACCCATCCAGTGCCCCAGGGCTGGGTGAACAGAATCTGTGTGGGGGTGAGCCCTACACACACAGCCCTGCTTAGCCTAGCCTGGGCATACTCGAAGGAAAGCTGTGGTGGTGTGGCAGGTGGGGGTGTGACTTTCACCCAGGTCCAGCCTCAGGTTGAGGGTCGCCTGTTGAGAGTCCACCAGTAGCACCCTCCGGCCCTGACGGGGCTTCTGGCGGTCCAGCTGCAGCTCAGTGTTTAGATCTGACAAGGCAAGCAGGAAGGAGCAGGGTCTCCCTGGTCAGCCTCTAGAGGGAATTGTCCAGGCTGGCCTACCCTCCACCCCCATCCATGCCACTCACAAAGTTTCTGAGGAATGTTGTGCCCCGTGGCTCCCACACACATCTGGATGGTGAAGCTACAAAAATGCAAGTGAGCTGGGGTCTCTCCCAGGTCCCAGATCCTACCTGGGCCATGCCCTGGCTCCTCACCAGCTCACTGGCACCTTGGTGTGCTGTAGGACACAGTTCTTCACAGCAGGATTCAGGGAATCTTGGACCAGCAGCTGGACAGTGGCCATCAACACTGGCTGAGCTCTGATGGGATGGGGAAAGCTTGCCATTGGGCTTACTCCTGGCCCAGTCTCCTCTGATGATGGGGGCCCTTCCCCCACCCAGGTCAGTGCTTACCTGTACACAACTACCTTGCTGGCCCCATAAGCTCCCACCAGCAAATCTACAGACATTGGGGGTCAGAGTTGGCAATAAGGAATGAGATCCTTATCTCATCTTCCTAGAGGTTTCCCATACCACCTCCCCAACTGGAGTTTCAACCCACTCCTCCACACCCCTGTATCCCAGCCCCGGCTATGTCTCTCAGCACCTCCAGCAAGTGCCCAAAGGCCTTTCTTGTCTAGATAGAGGCAATCCAGGGGCACCTGGGTATCCATTGTCATCAATGTCCACGGTTCCTCGAAGGGAGAAGCCAAAGCCAGAGCCTGTGGGGAAGGGGCTGTCCAGGACCTGGGATGGGCGTGAGCTCAGCCCCTCACTCTGACCCAGGTACACCAGCACTTGGCCCAGACCACTGGGACCTCCATAGGGTGCGGCCACTGCAACATCTGGAAGGAGTAACAGAAAGGGAGTGGCTGTTTGTCATTCAGATTCCCCAGGGGGCTGGGTAAAACCCCAGGAGACCAGAAGGGCACAAAATCTGGTCCCTGTCCTCTGGGAGTTTTTAATCTGGCAGGAGAGGGAGCCCAGTCAAGTAGGATTATTATTAAAAAAACTGTAACAGTCTTCACTATCTATTGAGGAAAATATATTCATGAGATATCATTTACTCCTGACAATTCGGCACTATTATTCCTACTTTAGATTAAAAAACTAAAGCTGGGAATGTTGGTGCCTGCCTGTAATCCCAGCACTCAGGTGACTGAAGCAGGAAGTTCACAAGTTTGAGTCCAGCCTGAACTACAAGTGTTACCCTGTCTTAAAACAAACAAAACAAAACATCATCTTTAAATCTTAAATTGTTTAAGATCAGCTCTGAATATGTACTTGTTAATCATCATAATCTGATTATTTTATGAGAGTATTTGCATGTGTTAGGTATTAAGATCTTTGACATATATGTTGTAACTATCTTTTCATTATCTTCTGATTTTATCTGTGGTGTGTTTTTTGTGCAGATTTTTTTTCCTCTTAAATATCTTTGTTGATTTTCCCAATCAAGATACACAGAGGTATTCATCCAAACAGAGGACTCAGACCACAATGGTGTCCTCAGGTCTGTGGCCTCCACTCTCCTGATCCTTGACTTCATCCTGTGTTCACCAATTTCCTGGCCATTCAATCGCCCTTGTCATTTCCTCAGCCTTCTTGCCCCAGTGCCAGCTTTGGGCAAATCTGGCCAGACTCCACCTGAGCTAATTCAGCCCAGGACTGCTAAAGAGACAGAGCAGACTGGGGACCATGAATGCGAACTCCATCCTTCACTGGGACATCAAGGACTCCCAGCAGCCTTGCAGGATTTCCACTCAGCACTTTTTCTAACCTCCTTTCTTCTAAACTGCCAGCCCCCACTTCCTTCGGCAGGTGACCTCGTCTCTTACTTCACAAAGAGAAGCAGTCCAACTGTTGTCCTTTGGAGCCACACCTACTTTGTTTCCCCTCTCCCACACAACCCTTCAATAGATGGTTCTCCTTTACTCTGCCTCTGGGCAACACTGGGACCCTCCTCTGGCTCAGCCTTCCATTTTCCTATGAGATCATTTTCCTTGCCGGTCACTGGTGGCTCACACCTGTAATCCTAGCTACTCAGGAGGCAGAGATCAGGAGGATCGAGGTTCAAAGCCAGCTGGGGCAAAGAGTTCTGCAAGACCCTATCTTGAAAAACCCCATCACAAAAATAGGGCTGGTGGAGTGGCTCAAGGTGAAGGCCCTGAGTTCAAACCCCAATACAAAAAGCAAAAAAGATCATTTTCCTTCACATTCAACACACTCCCCATTCTTCCAAATTGAAATATCTTTCCGCACCCTTCTGTGATTGTGTGATTGTCTTCTTTTTCCTTTCACAGTCACATTGGCTGAAAGAGCTGTCCACTCTGGCTGCCTCCAAATACTTCACTTCTGTTCATACCTTACCCCATGGTCTTCTGCTTTCTGTCCCTATACCTCCCTGGATCAGTTCTTGTCACAATCACCAATGACCTCTTTCTTGTTAAAGTTCACAGATGCTTCCCCAGTCTCATCTAATTGTACCTTTCAGCAGAGTGGCCTTGAGAGCCATTGACCTGCTCCTTCTTCCTGCTTGAAGCACTCACTTTCTTCCTTGTTCTGGGTCATCAGATCTCCTGGTTTCCTTCTGCCTCTCTGGACACTCCTCTGTCTTTTCCCTAGATTCACTTCCTCCGGGTGTCCCCTAAATGCTCTCACTCCCCAGGGCTCTCTCTTGTTTCGTGGGCTCCATATCTCATTCCCAATTTCCTATCTCCCACTCAGCTCTCTCTCCTGTTAGGGAGAACCACACATTCACGATTCTCTGCACAATTCCACCTAGTGCTCTCAAGCCCTTCAAACTCAGCTGGTTCAGAACTGAGCTGCAGATTTCCCTGCTCCTTTAAACCTGAGGCGTGGTCTGAAAAAAATTTCACCACCCACCCAACTCTCCTTACCCCTCAAGTCCTTAGTGACCCAGGTCCTAAGTATCTGCAAAGTCACCTTATTTCTAACTCCACTGCCAAAATCTGCATCCAGGTGGTCACCTTGACTGGATTAAGGCAAACACATGCTAACTAGTGTGCTTTTACTCCTCTTTCTGCTCTCCACTTAGCAGCTCAAGTTCAAAGATCACATATATATATAGTCACTCTATGCTTGAGACTTTCCTGCCCTCAGGTCAAGTCTGGATTTTTGTTTGGGCTGTTAACCCTCCTGCAGCAAGTGGGGCCCTTCTCTTCTCTCACCGTTGTAGCCATCCTGATTGAGGTCACCCAGGGGTGCAATGGCCGAGCCAAATCTCCCGTAGAGCTGTGTGCCAGTCAGCAGGAGACTGGGAATGCCCAGTCGGGGCTGCAGGAACAAGTATACTCGCCCCACCTCGGCCAACTTGCGATCAGCCCGGCTCTCCATGTACAATGGGGCGCCCACTAGCAGGTCGTGCCTCCTGTGGGCCACATGGGTGGTTGGGGGGGCTTGCCCACCCTGGGATCTCCTGCTCCCCTGCATGATCATGTGAAAGTGGGGGGGTGGGGAAAAGCGGAGATGGAGGGTAGCTCCTGCTTTGGGTAATTGAGGACCCTAGTGGGTAGGGGTAGGGTAGGTGCCTTCCTCACCCATCCCCATTGACATCAGTGACTGCCACCGAGTGCCCGAAATATGAAGCCATCTGCAAAATGAAAAGCAAGCCACCTTAGTTGGCACCTCCACACTGAGCACCCTCTGTTAGACATTCACCCTCCCATCCCAGGAACTATTCTGGAGTCTCAGTTCCCTGGCTTCAGCCATTCCCACATGCCGACCCACACCTGCTCTCCATGCAGTTGGTGCAGCCTCTGGTATTGGTAGTTCAAAATTTCCACCTGCGTGGAGGAGTGAATGGAAGTTCGTCATTCATTTACTCCATCTGTAACCTCCGGCTCCCAGTGAGAAAGGGCAGGAAGTCTGGGGGTGTGAGGGAGCTAGCCTAAGGACTGGGGTCCAGGACTTGGAATGTTGAGTTGCGGGGCAAGGGGCACTCACCGCTCCCAAAGTCCAGCTCCAAGTAGGGGCACCGAAGACATACTCTGAAAAGAATCCGGCTCAGCGAATGAAATTCTTAGACACCCTCCCATGCCCCCTTTTGACACCCAGGGGAGATTTTTGGGAGATGCTCCTCCCCTTAGGCTCCCTACTCCCGCCCCTGACTAAGTGAATTTCTTGCCTGTGGTGTTCAGATCCCCATCGAACTCGCCCACAGCCACTGAGTATCCTGAAGACACAGCACAAATTAGTGTTCCAGGAAGCATAAAGCAGTCAAAGAAGGAGGGGACTGAGTGGTGGGCCACCCAGTATAAACCCTGCGTTGTGCAGATGGGAGAACTGAGGCCAAGACTGATCCAAGGTGCCCTGTGAGTCCAAGGCAGGAAGGATGATATGGGTGGGTGGGGGGACACATGGGAGTTGGCAGGAAGTCAAGGTGGGGGAAGTGGCCAGAGCAGAGGGCTGGCCAGCTGGGTTTGGCATGGAGGCTCCTGTAGGGGCAGGACGTGACCGGCTGGGGTGGGCGGTGACTATTAGGGTGAAGGGAGGTGTCAGGGTTACCCCGGTAGCCATCGAAGTTCTCTATGCTGCTGGAGTCATGGGTGAAGCGCTGGTTGGGAACGTGCCACAAAAGGGTGCCGGGCCGGTAACTGGAGATGATATTAGCAATTGGAGCCCGGACCAGGAGACCTAGGGTGCGAGGCACAGGCAGTATGGGGGTCAGTTACCTGAGGTCTCCCCAGACCATGAGAAGGGAGGGAGTTGTATCATTGGGCACATACCTAAGAAAAAATAGCCGCCAGGGGCCCCAAGCACCAGCTCCCCAGCCTGAAAGGGAAGCCATGCCTGTGAAAGGGGCAGGAGCGACCCAAGCCGCGTGTTTCTGCCCTCGCCTGGGTACTGGGGATTGAAGTTAGGACCTCCAGCTGGCTAGGCACGCGCTCTACCACGTGAATCACGCCCTTAGTCCTTTACTTTTGCTTTTCAGCTACATTCTCCCGCTAATTTGGTTCGGGTTGGTCTCAATCGCGATTCTCCTGTCTCCATCTCTGAGTACAGGTATTACAGACGACAGTCACCACGCCCGGTTCTCAAGCCACTTGTGCTCCCTACTTGCCTGGGTGACCACAGAGCTGAAGCCCGCTTCACAGTACCGCTTGTCTCCGCCTAGAGTAGGCAAGGAGAAGGGGTCAGCAAAGGGGTGGATCAAGAGCGACGTTGTCTAGCTTGGAGTCTGACAAGCTCAAAACCACGTAGGGGCGGGGTCATGGGCTAGAGGCGTGGTTTTGAGGGGCGGGGCGGGGCCAGGAGCTGGTGCGGGGCCAGATTGAAAGGCGGGTCTGGGACACCGGGGAGGAGTTAGACCAAGGGGCAGGATAAGCAGTCGCGAGCGGGTGGAGCCAAATCGAGAGCGGAGCTTACTAAAATAATTTTTTTTGTAAAACGAGCTCATGAGGTTAGCCCGACAAGGTGAGTATTCCGCTCTGCGGCCGCTTTGGAGGTGAGCCACGAAGCAGCCCCCCACGGGCGCCTTTTCAGCTTCCTCGGTCCTTTCTAGGGCGTTCCAGTGCTGCCAGGGGGCGCAGGCCTGGAGCAGGGCCACAGGAAAGTCGGGAAGGGCGCGACACTAGGGCTTCCCTCAAGTCCCTGCCCCAGTTGCTCCCCGAGTCCTTTCTGCAGTGCCCACCACAATGACGTCGTTCCAGCTGACAACCGATGCTCCCAATCCTTGCCGGGTCTTGAAGGTCTGGAAAGTTTGGGAGCCTGTGTTTCTGGTCTCGTTTCCTGGAGGTCACAAGAAGGGGTGGAGCCTAGCCATCCACGTCCTTCTGGCCCCTCCCTTTCCCTCCATGCGTGCGACTCACTGAGGTCGAAGAGCAGCGAATTGCACTGGCCGCCCTCGGCCTTCCAGGGGCACAGGAACACGCCGCCAGTCTCCTCCTGGGTTGGGCCCAGGTTCCGCGGGGCGCCAACCACGATGGCCACTCTGCGTAGCAAAGTTGGGTGAGCACGGCTCAGATTCCTGTGTATCCTGCCCGGTGCCCACCCTGGGAGCAGTGCCGCAAAAGTGGTGTAGCATGGAGGATAGAAGGCCAGCTTTCCTCACTGAAACTTCAAAGCCAACCTCTTCATTTTATGGACAGTGAAATATACTTTCAGGAAATTCACGTGGGACTAAAACCATTTGGTTTGAATTGAACAGGAAGGGTTGCTGAAAAAGACCTCCTAAAACTACACTATCCCCACCTTCCCACTCCTAACAAAACCTAGACCTTTATATGCTCCCGAAAATTTCTGTCTCATTTAGACTCATAGATCCCTTCTTTGAGAGCTGTTTTTAATGGTGAAAGATATGTGGGGATATGTGGCACTGATAGAGCTGAGGACCCTAGCAGATCTAGGTTTAAATCACAGTTCTGCCTTATGCAGCAAAATAGCTATAATACCAACCCATTAAATCTGTCCAAAGTAAATGTAATAAATGGCTGAGGGACATTTAGCATAGCCTTAGCCAAGTACTTTTGAAAAACAATGTCATAATGAATATACGTATATACATGTATGTACACATATGCATAATTTTTTTTTTTTTTTTTGCCATACTAGGGCTTGAACTCAGGCCTACACCTTGAGCCACTTCACCAATCCTATTTTTGTGAAGGGTGTTTTGAGATAGGGTCTCCTGAGCTATTTTTGTCCAGGCTGGCTTTGAACCTCAATCCTGATCTCTGCCTCCTGAGTAGCTAGGATTACAGGCATTAGCCAGCCACTGGCACCCGACCTTACAAATTTTTTTTAGCACATAGTTGTTCCCATGGAACCATTGCTTCTGGAAGCGAGACACAGAGGATGACACAGACCCCAGTGAACTGTGGGTCAACACCTCAGGAGTTCTGGATCCAAAAGTACCCTTCAGAATTGCCAGAGGTGAGGCAAGGGGGTTGGACTCTTACTACCTCTACACTTCTCATTGATTAGCCATTGGGAAGGGGACTTCATTTTGGGTGAGGTGGCTCCCTTTAGCAGAGGAAATTCTACAGGTGTCTGTCACTTGAAGGTTATCTGCCATTACTACTCTTCAAAGCTTGGCATTCTGGGTGTACCACAATATAGGGCAACACGGCTATAGAATATGAACCAGGACTCTAATCATGGCAGTTTGATTTCAAAGCCTGATTAATATCAACCATTTGCAACCTATTGCTTCTTTTCAAATATCTCATTTGGATAGGGATGAGGAAAATGGGATAGAAAAGCATGGTGAAGGTGGGTAGCCAGTTACAGTTCTGCAAATCAATGTAGAGTGTGTGCTCCTCTCTGTTTTGAAGGGATGAGGGTGAAGTGGGTCATACAACTCACCACTGGGGAGACAATAAGGCATTACCTTTTGTCTTTGTTTAGTGCCTACCTCCCTACTGGTACCCCTCCCTGTAACTCTCACCAGAACCTGTCTCTTCCAGCATTCCTGACAAGAGCTCAACCAGACCCCAGAATCCACCTTGCCCAATTACTATTATGATTGGGGAACTGGAAACCTGCAGAAACTGCGATGGGATGATCCTCTTTCTCAATACCCCTACTTCCCCCAGGGCTTACCTCCCATGGTTGTCCTTGTGAAAATCCACTGAAAATCCAAAGTGGCTGCCATTGGGGCCTGTATAGAAGGTGACTCGAACTGGGTCGAGGTTCAAGGCCCAGGCTGGAGGGGTAGCAGTAGGTCCCAAGAGCAGCAGTGCCCATTCCAGAAGCCAGAGGGCATGCAGTGTACACAAAGTTCTGGCCATCTTCCTTCACCAACAACCTCCTAAGCAAGAATGGGCCAGCTGTCTCCTCTTCCCTTCAGTTTTCACCACAGGAAGTCTTTCCTTATCAAACTGGAACCCAAAGTAATGTGCTGGGCAGCAGGAGAGCAAAAGGGTATGGCCTCTGGATCACATGGTCTAGAGTGGGCAGGAAGGAGGATGCTTATGATTGAGAGCCACTGCTCCTCCCCATCCCAGACAGTTTACCCCAAATTCTGCTATTTCTGCTGCTCAACTGTATCTCTTCAATCTTTAACCCATCTCAACTACCAGCATGCTAACCCAACCACTATCACTTTCTACTTGGAATAGTGCAGCTCTGAATTAACCGACCTGAATCCAGTCTGACCCATAGTTTTACAGCTTCTCCCTCTCCCCCATCCAGCTGGTTGCACTGTAGTACCACTTTGTGGTACAAGAAAGGGAGAAGGAGTAAGGAAGCTGCTCTCCCCTGATAAGACCCAAGGCTACCATCTTTTTGATTAAGGTACTTATTCACTTCCTCTCTCTAGGGCCTTGGACAGCCTCAAACCATACTGGTGCAGCAGCTTCCTTAATCCTTCTCCATCTTGAGCCAGGTCTGAAGTGTGGCCACAGTGGTGCAGCCAGTATTGGGGAAAGGGTAGTAAATAGACCCTACCCTAAGAGATGGGGATAAAGTAGACAGTCATATGCACTAGCTGAATGTTCAGTTGAACAGCTTTTTTTTTTTTTTTTTTTGTGGGACTGGGATTTGAACTCGGCTTCAAACTTGCAAAGCAAGCATTCTGTAGCTGAGCCACACCTCCAGTCCATTTTTGCTTTTGGTTATTTTGGAGCTGGAGTCTTGCAAACTATCTGGCCTCAAGCCTCAGTCCTCCCAATATCGGCCTCCCAAGTAGCTTGCATTACAGGTGGGAGTCACTGGTGCCTGGCTAGCTTAACTCCTTTAGTGACAGCTCTTGTCTAATCATTAAGACCTGATTCTGGTTGGGGTTATTGTTTAGGGGAAGCCTCTCAACTCCTCTGGTTGGAACTCTGGGCTACCACACACACAGGCGCAGTACTGATAACACTGTTTAGTCATTGTCTGGTTCCTTGGATTGGGTAAATGAGTCCCTTGAAAGCAAGGTTCCTTTTTGCAGCCCCAAGGCCTACACAAGAGCTCAACACTGAATGGAAGCATGCACTTCCATAAGGATGAAAGATGCAAACACGTGGTCACAAAGTAGTAAGAGACAAATTTTGAGTAGAATGGCAGGGCATTTTCTATGGTTGAGGGGAAGAAGTGCGCTAAGACTTACTGGCATTGCATGCCTTCTACAAAAAGCAGGTTCTCAGGCAGGAGAATCAAGACGTCTGCTAGGTGTAAAGAACATAGCCCCACCTTCCTTTTGATCTATCTAGACTTTTTTCCCCCTGGTGCTGGGTATTGAACCTTGGGCCTTGCACATGTTAGGCAAGCACTCTACCACTGAGTTACATCCACCCCCAAGTCTGAGCTGTATTTTCTGATCAAACTTAACCACACTGTACCATTTTGAAATCCTTTTAATTCCTCCTTTTCCATACTCATCATCTCAACACACAGCTAAAAATCCTATCCTGTACTAGATTAAAAGCTCCTTGAACACTATTCAGGGTCTTTCTCACTGATGACTCCAAGTGTTGTGGTCATGGTAGCATGCAATAAATTTGCTGGAATTAATACTTAACCCCGTCCTCTACTTACCCTTCATTCTCCCACTGTTTTCAAATGAGTGGCTACTGTATTTCGGGTGTACTGTGTCTAGTCCAGTATTAATTCACATTGCACTACAATTTTCATCAATACCCTGTTCAAGGCACAGAACTGTTAAGGGATACAGAGATAACCATTGAGGGTCCTTAGCTTAGTCCAGAGGGAGCTAACATGAGCACATGAACTGCAGTAGAGGTGGATAACAATGTGCCTTAATGTGCAGATGAGGACTGACCCCATGAAATAGGTACTATTATGACCATTTCAAAAGACAAAAACTATGGCACAAGAGTTTTTGCAAATTGCCAAAGTGTACACAGTCAACAGATGAAAAAACTAGGATTCAAACACAAGTTTCCTTTTGTCTTAGGTATAAGGAATAACAAGCAAAGGGAGTAGCAAAAGAATGCAGAGGTCAATGATAAAGAAGGGCAAGTAGGGGACTCAACAGAGGCTTAAAGGGGTGACTGGGCCATGAGGATAGAAAGGAAGGTGGGACTCACTGAAGGTCTCTGAATGCCTTATTAAGGAATTTGAACTTTAATCCACAGGACATGGAGAATTATAGATTTTTAAAGTAAGGGAGTAAGGCATTCAGTGATCAAGTATGCTCCAATTTGGAAGACTACACTGGCTGCCTGTGGACAGAAGGAACTGGAGAAGGAAGGACTTTATTCAGTATCTTCTTCACTGATGAATCCAGTGCCAAGGTCATGGTACGCAATACCATGTGGGGAAACCAGATGGTTAGGGACTGCAGGCCTCAGGGTTAAAGGCGGTGAGGCCTAGACCAAGGTACTGGTGGTAAGAACAAGAGATAGCAGAGATCTCAGAAATCAGTAGCTGGATGTGGTAAGGAGGCATCATAAGTGATTCAAAGCTTTGGCTCCTGGTAGGACAGTGGTACCATTAACCAAAATCAGAAACACAAGGGGGAGAGGACTTTGGTATTCAAAATGGGCTGTGTTTCTTTGGTGTTAGAAATGTGTTTCCACTTTTCCCATCTCATTAGCCAGAGTCCTAGAAAACGCCAATGAATTCATAATTCTGTTAAGGCTTCATTTATCAGAAATCATTAAGCTTCTACCATATGCCTGGCATTGCACAAGTGATGTGGCGGCTAGAGAAACTTAATCCTTAGTTAATATATTTTACTTTGCTTTTATCTTTATTGAGCATATAATCAAAATGTTTACAATATACTGAAGTCCAGGTAAAGACATCTAAGGAGCTTACAAAAAAAGTGTAAGAATAATCAGTCCATGTCCTCTGAAGAGCTCACAATTTTACTGGGAAGCAGTGAATACAAAATAAATTGCACTCAGTGCAGTCAGACTCTGCAAAGCCAGTAAAGCTTACAAGGGACAAGGAATTAGATCCTAGAGTCGGGGGGAGGGGGCTAGCCAGAAAAATGCTGTAATTATCCAGATATGGGCTGATATGGATGAGGTGAAGGTTATCTGTGGCAAATCAGGGAAATGGATGACAAGGCCTGATTAGTCATTAAAGGTTGGAAGGAGTATTTCCATGTTTCCAGCAGAGGTGCTGAGGCCTTTCAAGAACAAGGCAGCTGCACATAACTCCACATACTCTCTACAGGCTGGTCTGCCAATCTTTCACCTGCCACTTTCCTTGCTCTTGGAGATTTCTCATTTTCTAACATCCTTTCTTAGAGCAAGGATCTTTACCATTTTAGGAAAACAGGGTGATCTGAGCACCCAACCCTAGGTTTAAAATGAATAGTTCCTATTCATGGAGGAGAACATGGCTGTATCAAGAAAGTAGGGCTAGGGGATTGGCTCAAGCAGTAGAGTGCCTGCCTACCAAGCATGAGGCTGAGTTCAACTTATAATAATGCAAAAAAAAAAAAAAAAGTCAGGCAACTATACACATAGTTCTACCCCACTTTGTAGTTGAAATCTCTAGAGAGTAGGAAAGAAACAGACATTGCACAGTTCCTTCTTGAAACGATGAGGATCAGTAGGGCTTTTATTGTCAGTAACAACAGGGTTTACTTCCTTACACCAGATAGAAGCAGGCACTCAAACACAGTAGTGATATTAAAGGGTTGAGGATGGTATTCAGGCTTGGTCACACAGAACTTCACCTGGAGGGCAAAGACCAGCCAGATGACTCATGCAAACCCTTTAATACAAAATCCTAAAATTTAATGCTAGAAATTTCAAATCTATCTAGTGAGCACCTATGTTCTATTTATTACATAAATTGCAGATCTAAAATGGAAAAATTCCAAATCATCTACCTAAAACTCAGAAAAATTACTAGTTCTTCCTGAAGTCATTTTTTCTCTCCTTGGGCAGCCTGAGCTTTCAGAAGCCAATTCCAAGCATCTTAATCTCGTTTACAAGAATCTAGTCCCTGACCACTTCAAATAAGATGCTATTTATAACCCACAACCTCAACCCTTCCAAACTTGAGTGGATGGGGCAACAATCAAAACAGACTCTGCTAAGTTTCCACAAATCATTGGTTTATTAGAAAGTTCCTTTCCCTCATTTTACAGCATATGTATCTCTATCATACGTGATAAAGTTAAATACAATGTTATGCTTGTAAGTAAGGATAGGTTCTTTTCTTTTCTTTTTTTTTTTTTAAGTTTTAAAATTACTATTCTGGAATTTAAAGAAAACTGCCCCCAGGAAGGCAGAGAGGCAGCCAAAGTATGGCTCAATCTACAAGCTAATGGGAAGCAGCACAAAAATGTTAATACTGTATTATTTAAATATTTACATGGGCTGAAAGCAAAGAAAAATGAGTCCCTTCACTTCAAACAAATAATTTCATTTTTCCAATGATAGTTATCCAAAAAGTGATATTTATAATCAGACAAGGAGCACTGAATAGGTAGGAAGGGGGACTCAGCCAAGAGCCTGTTTGCCCAGCACTTGCTTCTCATAAACTCAAATTTTGAGCATTTGAGAAGAAAGACATGAACACAGTCTTGGCTCAGCTAAGTACAGATTTTTTTTTTTCCTGTCAGTTGACCACTCAACCAATTCTAGTCACAAGAATAGGTAGGAACACGCCAAAGAGAAAACCACTAACTACAACAAAAGATATAGGGCCTGCAATACAAGCACCTTTGGGTCAGTGTGTTAACAAGGGCTGAGAGCCTGGGTGAAAGACAGTAAGAGGGAAACAAAAGGCTGAGGTGGTAATTCCTCTGGTCAGTATCATAGAAGAAAGGAAAAATGAACCTTTACTGCTGAAACTGAGCTGGGTTGACAGCATGTAAGTATGAAGCAAAGAATCTGAAGTATTTGTAAGTGTGCTCACCTCCCAACAACAGGAGGAGAAAACTGTCCCAGCTCTTACTATCCTCTGGTCTACTTCTACTTCAGTTTCTAGCCAACCCAAAAGGCACATTAAGAAACTGTCAGAGGGGGCTAAATACTAGGAAGGCAAATGGACTGCCTGGAATAAGGTCCCAGGGGAACCCAGGAATCCACACTTCCCCCCTAACCAAGACAATCACTGAATCTCACTGCTTCCAGAGAATAAGCTGCTGACTCCTCCCCTCCACGGTGGGGTTCACCTGTTTCTCTGTACAAAACACAAGGGAGACCATCACAGCTGAGCATCCCTCTGACACCTGCAGCTGACTGCTGCCCATTAACTCTAAAGTCCCAGTTCTGAGGGCACCACTTACTGCAAATTACTTAATATTTTATCCCAGAAAAAAAAGTTTTAACATTTTTATAGTTCATAACTTCAAAAAATACATGAGCTTGATAAAATATACATGCTTAGTCATTTTTGCATCTAGCAGAAAACAAATACTTTATTTTTTTTGTTTCCATTTTATAACCTTTAAAGTTTCTTAATTCAACTAGGGCAAACATATTTACACAAAGCCACCAGAACAAGGATCACTTAAAGAGCTGGATGTAAAAAATATTATTGCAGTATACTACAAATATGGAATTTTTAATATAAGCTACAAAAAGCAGCATTTAAGTTTATAGAGTTCAGTGCAATTTTTACATTTTAAAAAATCCTATAAATTAAGAAGAAAACATCAACACAACAGAAGAAAATATACCCTTCAGACACATGAGCTCCTCTCTGGGGAAGCACATGGAGACTCTATGTTCCACAAAGCTTCTATTCATGATAGGATCTTCTTTTCTGGGATATGCAGATGTCTCTTCTGGGATGAGGGACTGTGAGGACAATAGTGTCAAATGTGTGGCTCTGTTTGTATGGGAAGTGGATCAAATTGCAGCCTGAGTTGCTTCTGGTTCCAGGTCAGACTCCCTTTTCCACCTCGCCTGGGATAACGTGTCATCGAGGGATGGTCAAAGACACTCCAAAAGACACTGGTGGAACCTTCACCATTGGAAAGACAGCTTGGCCTTCCTATGGCACTGAGAAGGCAGGACCAGATGGGCCCATGGCAAGTGCTTTGGTGACAACCCACCAGAGAGGAGGAAAAATTTTAAATTTATAGAAATGAAGAGCAGAGGCTAAAAAGTAGAGGAGGGGACTATCTAAACTTGACAGATGTTGCTGCAGTTTAAGTGGGTAGCACTTACTGGTGTTCCCTAACTTAGAAACATAGAAGAGGAAGGACATATACCAAAGAGGAAAAAAAAAAAAAAAAAATCCCTGATAGTAAACCCAAAGCAAACCTCAAACCTAACCCATTTCTGCAAGCCAAAAACCTCAATTCTTTGGCTGTCAGACACTGCCCATCCCAGCTATTACTTGCTGGTATTAATGGCTCAACACCCCCAAGGAAAGAATTATGGGTTACCTTCTCTGGCCCTACCTAGGCTCCCATCTCCCAACTCATGTGCCATGGCTAGGGGGGTGCTGCAGGTCCTGACCTGAGAAGATGGGGTGAAGTAGTGGGTGAAGGTGGAGGGCAGTGGCAGCTGCTGCAGCAGGCCGTGGGGCAAGCAGGGTAGGGTATAGGGCGGCATGTGGGACAGGGTGGAAGGTGAAAGGCCCAGGATGGATGGCTGAGGCGGGAATTATGTGGATGGGATGGCTAGTGAGAAAGGTTGCAGGGTGGCCAGGGATGATTGAATGAGTAAGGTGGGACAAGGAAATAGGGGTCAGATGGGGCTGGGGAATATGATGTACTTGGGCAAGCGGCTGGGGATGAGGGTGGGGGTGAATGCCAATGGCGGCGGCAGCAGCTGCAGCATGATGTTGTAGGATGGCATGCTGAACAGTTGTGATAGACGTGGCAGAGGCTGTGGCTGGCTGCTGAATGTGGATGGGCTGCAGGGCTGGTGTGGCTGGGGCCAGGGCTGCTGAGGCTGGAAAGGCCTTTACTTGCTTGGCCAGAAGTTGCTGCTGGATGTGCTGCTGCGCAGCCTGCTGGAGCTTGCTGTACTTCTCCATTTCCTCGGGGGTGAAGGTGATGGGCTGGCTCTCCAAGGGAGCCAGTGAAGCATCCTCAGCCCCATCTGTTGATTCAATACTAGGTTCCCCACTAGGTGGTGCATAACCAGGAAAATGCTCAAGGTCTGGTACTATAGGCAGCAAGCTGGATTCCACAGGGCCTGGCTGACTGCCACTATCCAGGGACTCTAGGGTGTCCCCATCGCTGGGGTCAGGGAGGTAGTTATGGGAAATGGTTGGATCCCCAGGGTAGCAGTCTGAGTGTGCTGGAGTGCCTAGTGGAGCCACAGAGTGATCAGCAGTAGGTTCTTCAGACTTTGGCTCTTCTGGGGGTGGGTCTGATAAAGGGCCAGCTGTTTCCTCTGAGGGGAGCTGATGCCCAAATGGGGCATCACTGCTCCCTGGGGGCCCTTCTTCTGTCTCTGACTGTTCTTGCTCTTCCCCCCTTTCCAAGCCAGACTCTTCACATTTCTTGTTGGGCTTTCTGGTAGCTGGGAGCTTCCCTATTAGTGGAAGGACAGGCTTATTGCCAAGAGAAGGAGGCAGCTTGGGTCCAAAGTAACCTTGTGGTGGGTCCTTGAGCTTGAGCCCAGCTTTATTAGGGGTGACCAGCACCTCCTCACTCATACTGGGTTTCCTCTCTACTTTCCTGGCCTGGATCTTCTCTAGTAGCAGTCTGGCAGTTACAGAGTTCTTATCTTCAGGGCTGCAGTCACTTTCTGGACCCCTTCCTGTGCCAGTGATACTGTTCTGGGAGGGTGGGCCTGTCCCCTTACTGTCATCTCCTCTGCTATCATCTTTCTTCCCAGGACCTTCTCCTCGGCCAGATCGGAAATAGTGGGGGGACTGAGAGCGATAGATCTTTGAACGAATGAAGTCCCGACGGCCAGAACGCCTCTCCTCAGGGCTCTCGTGACCCCATGATCCCTTCCTAGAGCCTGATCTCTGGGAAGGGCTCCTGGTACTGCGGCTACGGTCCCGGCTATAGCTCCGGCTCCGCTGCCAGCTGTGGGCTGTGGTGCTGCGGCTTCTCCTCTTGCTTCGACTACGACTACAGCTGCTACTGCGGCTTCGGCCCCGGGATCTTGAGCGCTCCCTGGTATGACTCCGAGATCGACTTCGGGACTGGCTACAACTGAGACTATAGTCGTCATCATCAGATGATGAGTATTTGTGTCGTTTGGACCGGTGCTTGGAACTGGCATAGTCTGAGTCATCCGAGTCATGAGAACGCTTAGAGTGCCTTCGTGATCGGTCACTATAGTCACTATAGCTGTCATCAGAGTAACTATGCTGTCTACTATAGCAGCTCTGGTCTGAAGAAGCATCTGAACTACTTGAGTAAGAACGCCGGGAGGAACGGTGTGAGGAATGGCGCCGGCCAGACCGTGAGCGACTGCGAGAATGCTCACTGCCTGAGTCTTCATCTTCCTCCTCCTCCTCCTCTTCTTCCTCCTCTTCACTGTACTGGGATGGAGACTTCTGGTGATGCAGCCTGCGTGATGAAGCATCATCACTATCCTCATCTCCACTACTGGGTCGACTCCGATGGCTAGAACGACTGCTCTGTTTGGTGCCAGCTCTTCGCTGGCAGGATGAAGTTGGAGGTTCACCTTTGTGTTTCCTCCCACCATGATCTTGAGAACTGCTGCCACCCCCACCTTCATCCTTCTTGCCACTACTTCCTTCTTCAGCAGGGAGGGATCTCCGTTGGGAGTCATATTGGGCCCGTCGTGGTCTTCTGGGTGGGGCAGGGCTGCCACTTCCAGGGGGTTCTGGTTTGGGCCCTCGTTCAGAATCTGCTGGGGCTGATGATTTATTCTTCTTTCGTTTTCGTTTCTTGCGCTTCTTAGACTTCTCCCCAGACTCTGCCTTAGAGCTTTTCTCTTCTGTGTCAGCCTTGTGTTTCCGTTTGTGTTTGCTGGATTTTTTGTGTTTCTTTTTCTTCTTGTGTCGATGGGACTTCCCAGATCGTTCTTTCTTATTAGAAAGGCTTCTCCCTGTATCTTCAGTTTCTGACCCATGGCTACCCCCAGGCTCCTGCTTGTTCAAGCTGCTACAGGCAGGTCCTGAAGCAGGTGTATCTAATCTGCCTTCTGAGGAATGTACTACTTTCTCTCCTCCTTCCTTGCTTTTATTAGGCTCACCAGGATCAAGGCCTTGGAGATGGTCCTTTGAGGAGGCTCCTATATCCTTTGGTTTTTCTGTCCCTTTAGCTCTGGTTTCTTTGTTTCTCGAAAGCTTAAAGTCAAAGTATAAAGGGTTACAACTGTAGGAAATGGAGGGTTCTGCCTTGGTGAAAATTAATAGTTCTGATGGCCACTGGAGGGCAGTGCTCTCATCTTTGCTCAAAACTGGGAAGAAGGGACCAGAAGGATGTTTGGGTCCTTCCTGGCTAGCTCTCCCTGCTGGGGTGGACTGAGAGGTTTCTTTAGAAGGATTAGATTCACACATTTGAATCTCTGAAGCCTTCTGACTCAGATTCTCTAAATTCTTCTCATTTACATCCCCTCCCGAGACCTTCTTTGTCTCAGTTTTGCTTCCAGGCTCTGAGGGCTCGGCTATAGTAGTATCCTTTGGCTGCTCAGAAACTTCACTAACTGTCTTTTCTGCGCCTTGGCTTGCTACCACCTTAACACAGCCTTTAGGCTTAGGAGAACTGCTTTTTTTGCTCTCAGGAGCATTCTTTGAGTGTGTACTATTATCACCTTCCATTTGTTCACTAGCTCTCATAAAGAGTAAGAAGGGAAAATTAGGTTTTACTTTGCAGTGTGCTGGGGGGATGTAGTGGTAATACTCTGGCTCTGTAGTTCCAGTTCCTTCTTCTCGTTTCATCTTTTTTAACTTGGATAATGTTGAGGCAAGGGACCCGCCATCTTGAGGGTCTTCGTCTTCTTTTTTACCATCAAGATTACTGCTACTATCAGCATCTCCCACCTTCTGAGGTCCTTGATCAGAACCCTTCTCGTCAGGTTTTGCTCCATCTTCAGCGGTTCCTTCCTCTGCATGGTCCTTGAAAACTGATGCTATTGATTCAAGCTTGACAGGAGCCTTCTTGGCAAAGGAAAATGATACTCCTAATTTTTGCAGTGGGGTCCCCAGATTATTCTTAATGCCAAAGCTGATGCCTTGGGAAGCTAACCCGGGAGCCTGTGCCAGTCCAGTGGTATTAGTGATTTGTACTGCAGTAAAGGGACCTCCTTTATCTGTGGAGAGTTCAGATCCCAGGCCACAAGTGGCAGTGACACCTGTGCCACTGCTTGTAGCTGACTCATCTTTATCCTCATCTCCACCTTCTTCATCTACAGCCACTGTGGTTGGTCTGAACATGGGACCACTTCCAGGTGCACTAGATAATGGTTGAGAAAAGTGAAAAAACAACAGAAAAACAGGTTGAGGAAGACATTTTATCTATTTTATAAAATACTCATCTTTAAGCAGATTAATGCTTCCCCTACATTCCCCCATGCTGGGGATTGAACCCTGGGTTTGGCCATGCTAGGCAAAAGCTCTATCACTGAGATACATCCCCAGTGAACTACTCACCTTTTATATTCTACCATTCCTCATGGGTAAGTCTCAAAGACACTAAGCAATGTGTCACTCCCTAGCTGTATGATAATGAATGGAACTTATTCTCATTCAATTAATCTACCAAGCTAAATTCCCAGGCCCAGCTACTTACCATTGTTTCTTCTTAAGCTGCCTGTATAAAAAAGTAAAACTTATCTCATAACTCAAGTACCCCACCATTACATAATCTACCTCAATTTGCTTCCAGTTTCGTATTTTACTGTATCATCTTACCATCAGTATGCTATCAAATGTATGGCTGTACATTCACATCTAGTACAAAAGTCATATTTTATTTAGCTAAATAAAAAAGAAGTAATTTCCCCTGTGCTTTCAAATTTCATTTTAAAAAAATGTATATTCTAGAGTTGAGGATGTGGCATCTGCCTAGTAAGCATGAAGCCTTTAGTTCAAACGTGGTACAAAAAAAGACCCAGAATACACACACATGTAAATATGTCTATGTGTGTGTATTTATATTTATATCCTGAAACCTCTACGCGGTTACTCTATAGCACAGCAGTCTGTGTCTATTTTCTGGGCACTAAATCCAAACATTTGCTATGGTTTTGTGATACAGCAGCGCCCCGAGGGATATTTCCAGACCCCAGTAGATGTAAACAACAGACGATACTAAGCCCCTCATGTATTTCTCATGTGTGTTAACATATATACGTGTATGTCGATGATAAAGGTGCAGCAAGATTAGCAACAACATTAACAAACATTTACAGCAGTACACTGTAATCAAAGTTCTGTGAACGAGGTCTCTGTCTCTAATGAACAGGCAGCATTTACAGAACGGATACACTGGATAAAGAGATGATTCATCATATCTCAGGCAAGACAATAAGACAGCTCAAGATTTCATCACACTACTCAGAATGGCACACAATTTAAACTTATAAATTCTTTATTTCTGGAATTTTCCTTTTAATATTTTCAGATCAGTGGCTAATTGTGGGTAATTGAAACTGCAGAAAACAAAACCACAGGGACTATTGCACTTTCTGGGCACTTGTAACAATGACCATAATTCATTTAGCTTTGCCGACAGAAATACTGAAGAGCCTTAATGTGTGTTCTAAACTGCCTATCTTGCCTGAAATTTTCAGTATGTAGACTATTATGGGTATTCTTTCAATTTGAAACTCAAGAACAAAATAGATTAGATATACACTTGGATAAAGCCCTTCTTACCTGACCCCTAGCTACTAACTGTCTCAATTCTGGTAACAAAAACATTTAGACAATGAGGTATATCTCTTGCTATATGAGCTGCTGCTGTTGGAAGATGGGAATCTAAAAGATTTGGGTAGCAAGAGATAATTACATTGTGATATGAAACCTACCCCACAGCAACAAACAAAACTCCCAAATATAAAACAAAACTCTCAAGTTGAATAAAAAGGAAATTCACTTTGATCTTTTGCTGTCAGGTTACTTCAAGAATACATGGGGTAATGTATTAGTTCTAGGATGAAGAAATACCTGATGATGGATCAAAACCTTTTTCTCCTGATATTACTTAGTTTTAAGTAATTTTTTCTCCATGCTAGGCACGGAACCCAGGGTCTTACACATGCTAGGCAAGCACTCTACAGATGACCTACATCCCTAGCCCTAGTTGGTCATGTTTTAACTGTTTATTTATAAAACAGAACTAAAAGTTACCACTGAAGAAAAACATGTACTGTATGTCCTGAAGTAGAAAATGACCTAGTGTACATACTATGTGTACACTAGTGGGCAACATACCCAATTACATAAACAGTTGCCGAAGAAGGAATAAGAATCATTTTATAGGCATTTTAACTCAACATTAGAGCTCACAGGTTAATTCTGTTTAAAAACTTATGATACCATATACATTCGTTCCCTTCTTTCTTCCTTCAAAACACAACTTAAAAAGAACAAAATAAAGCCAGTAAGTCCAGGCTGGAGGTATAGTTCAGTGATAAAGAGTACTTGCCTAAATAAGATCACCAGCACTGCAATAAAACAACAACAAAACAAAACAAGTAAGCCCAAGAACTTGGGAACTCTGACCTAAATTTGGCCATCAGCTTTTATTTTGCATTTTTCCCGTTGCTGGGATCAAGCTCAGGTCTTGCACGTTAGGTGAGCTCTCTACCACTGAGCTATGTCCTGCCTTCCTCAAAAACATTTGGTAGTATTGGGTATAAGGCCTCATGTTTGCTAGGCGAGAGCTCTACCACTTGACCATGCTCCCATCCCCTCCTCTAAAACTTTTAAAAGTCACAATCATAGTCTTTGTCTTTCTGTCTCTTTCCCTTTTTCTCTCTCTCTTTTCTCCACTCTCCCCCTTCTTTCTTTGAGACAAGGCCTCGCTATGTAGTCCAAGCTGGCCTGGAATTTTCCATTCGCCTGCCTCACCCTCTTGTGTACTGGTATTATAGGCAGGCACATCATGCCGGTCTTCAGCTTCTCTTTCTACTGTAAGTAGTTCCTTCCTTTGGTGCTGGATAGCCATTAAAAACAAACAAGGGCACTCCATTCTTTCTGACTAAGTCATATATCTCATGAAACCTACAGCCAGTTTCAAATGCTCAAAGATTGGGTCCCTGGAGTCTCATTGTTTGGAAATTCAGCCCTAGGTTATGCAAATTTCTCTTAAGGCTAAATACCAGATTAAGATCTGATAATCAGCACAAACCCTGAAAAGAACATTAGAAAGAACAGTCAAGAGGGCAGGAAACTACAGAGAAATAAATAAATAAATAGAATTTGCTAGGTTTTAGAGTATTTAGCACTAAGTAGAGTATTTAAAGGCAGTGACAACACTTGAGTCTGTGTCTCAGAACTTTCTAGCTATAAAATACTATGCTCTTCTACAAAAGAACTGTTGGAGAATGGGAATAATAGCAATAGTGGCATCATTTATTGATCATCTTCGATGTTCTAGGCACTCTTTCAAGCACTTCTAATACAATAATTCAACTACTCCTCACAACACCTATAAGCAAATCATTGTCTTCATTATATAGGTAAGAAAACTGAGGCACAGCTGGGTGCTGGTGGGTCACAACCTGTAATCCTAGTGACTCAGCAGGCAGAGATCAGGAGGATCAAGGTTTGAAGCCAGGCTAGGTAAACAGTTCATGAGAACCTATCTCGAAAACATCCATCACAAAAAAAAGGGCTGGTGGAGTGGCTCAAGGTGTAGGCCCTAAATTTAAGCCCCAGTACCACAAACAAAAAAAAAGAAAGAGAGGCACAGAGTGCTTACATGTAAGCTGATGAAGTCACCCAATAGAATATGGCCACAAAACAGCACATACTTAATCAGTATCTTATACTACAAGTATAAATATGTTTTTATAAAAAAAGGATCTGCTAAAAATCTGGGTTTTTTTTTTTTTTTTGTGATACTGGAGATTAAAACGAGGGCCTTGGGCTGGTTCTCTACCACTTGAGCCATACCCCAGTCTTTTTGTTTTGAGATAGTCTTGCTAACTCTGCTTGGGCCAGCTTCCAACTTGAGATCTTCATGCTTCTGCTTCCTGAGTAGCTGAGATTATAGGCATGCCCAGTTTAAACATCTTATGGCTTATAATTTTAAAATCTCAATTCTTTAATTATATTATTGTTGTACTGGAGGTACACTGTTGACATTCACAAAATTTCTTACAATATATCATGGTTGAATTCACCTCCTCCATCATTCGCCTTTATCCTTCCCTCCCCCCTAAAATCTCAATCTAAATATTAAATCATAATCTTAACCCTTTAACTTTAAATCTTGAGGATTATAATTATCTGTAAAACACCCTGAGAGAAAACTTCCTCACCATTCAGCTTGTTTTCTTTGCTCTGCCAACTCATGGAGACGCCGAAGGGCCTTTTCTTGTTTCTTCTCATCCTTGCGGGATCTTGAAGAAACATTTCGGGCAAACTCTCTCTGCTTGAGATCTTTTAATCTCTGGGATAACAGAAAGAAAGGAACAGAGGGTGGGTGATTTATAGTCACGTGGGGATTTGAAACAATAACCAATGGTTATAGTACTAGGGTTTAACACATTATACTTTCTTACGGTAACTGAAAATACTATGGCTGATTACTTGGGAATGACACTCAGAAAATCTGCATTTATAATCAGAACAGCATGTCATTTGCCTTATTGGGCAAAATAAAATGATTTTGGAAGCAATAAGCAAATTTTAGAACACTGGAAGGAAAGAAAAGATACTGTTTAATCATTTGCTCTTCTAGGATGCAGAATTAGACAAACATAACATGAACTAAAATCATGGTAATACAGGCCAAAAAGAACAGAAAGGGATTAGGCTAGTAGAGAAAATTATACAAGATTTAAGTTTTTATAAAGCAATGTACAGCTTACATGGGGGAGGTTCTTTGAATTGAAACAAACAAAAGGCATACTTTTATTTCCCCATAAAAGGTGTTACTTCTTTTCAGCACTAACAGAGGTTTCCTGTAACTATTAAACCTTAAAAGAGGTTCTTCCAATACTAGCATGCTCAGAGCTTACAATTCTGACCACTTTCATCTGTCTAGTCAGTCTGCTGAAATTAGATAGTTTTTCATTCCTTCATGGCCCACACAGAAACATCCAGGGGATGAAGAGGGAGAATAAGAGATAAATTGAAGATTTTGTTACTTAAAATTCAGATAACAAGGCAGGCGCTCTACCATTTGAGCCACTCTGCCAGACCTGTTTTGTTTTGGGTTTTTTTGAGATAGAGTCTCTTGAACTATTTGGCTGGGCTGGCTTCCAACTGCGATCCTCCTGATCTCTGCCTCCTCAGCAGCTAGGATAACAGGCATGAGCCACCAGCACCCAGCTCAGAATGGGTCTTTTATTATACAGCTACTATATAGTTTTCCTTAAAACAAAAGAAACAACAATCAAAAATGAACAACAGTGTCATGACACACCAATGACAGAGTCCAGACATATCTGCAATGAAGACAAAACTAAAATTATTGTCAACACACTAGATAATATAAAAAACAAACAAATAAAACAAAACACATACTTTAGCCTATGTTTTTACAACAGCATCAGGAAAAGGACTTTCACTCAATATAAAGTGGACATTGCTTTGTGGAAAGGTGTGATGTTCAACAGACAGAGGTATTTTCTTACCTAATGTTTATGAAGTGTGTTTTGAATCTTTTTGAATTGGAAGGGGAAAGGGGTAGAAAGACACACACAAAAAAAGATATACAGCTAAAGACACTAGTAGAAAAACTCACTCTTGTGATTTGGGCTTCCAAATTAGAAGAATTTGCTTTCAATACATCAGCTGAAAATATCACATCACAAAGAAAAATAAAGTAAAAATAAAACAAGAGTGGAAGAGAAAAAAAATAAAGCAAGCATTACTACACAAGCTGTCTTAGTGAATCTGCAAACTATTATACTGAACAATCAGGGACAAAGCCGTCATCTCTAAAAGGGCTAGGGAGAAGGGAAGCACCTGTACAACATGTACATGTGTACATACACATAGACTGACACAGTAATCCCACCTTCATAAATGAAACTGTCTCTACAGAACATTAGAAAGGACCATTACTGTCTAAAAGCAGTTAGTCTTGTATTCAATCATCTTTATTTTGTCAAATGACCAATAGTGGGCAAAACTGTTACTGAGGCAAGTTGCTCATATCTAAGATTTTTACAAAATCACTTACAAATGGAGGGCAAACTCTAAGTAAACATATATTCCAATTTCCTCTTCCTGAGAGGACTCGGACAGAAAGGGTCCATCAAGCCTATTATATTTTAGGCTACAAAGCTAGTTTATTCTTCTCTAAATGCTTTATAGGCTTTCTAGTCAAAATTCAAATAGAATTGGTTTTCTCGTATATGCCATCTTCTTCATAGCTATTCCATCAGTCACCCCATGTCCAGTCATTTCCTCCCTTTCTATAAACATTTCATCACTTTTAGGAGGCATTTATTGAACTACAGGGCATTGTCCAATAAAGCAATAATCTTTATCAAAGTCTGGAGCCTCCAGATTGAACCTGACAGAGATTAGGCTTTCTAGTCATTCAGCAGCACTTGGAGGAATGTTCGAAGTTGAAGGAAAAGACTGAGTCTACATTATTCCAAAAGATATCATATGTAAAAGTCCCTACCACAGGAATATAAATACTTGAAGGTAGGGAAGGAAAAAAATGAGATGATATCAACAAAACAAATCCAACTGCAAGTAAACCTATGTTGATATGCTATAAAGTATACCAAACTCTCCCACATCACCTTTACAAACAGTTATTCTTGTCTTTCCGAAAGGCAGTATGTGTAAAACTTGAGTCAGAAAGACCTATGTTCAATCCATTAATCGCTAATCAAGTGATTTTATCCCTTATAACTTCAGTTCCTTCATTATAAAACCAGGGTTATCAGTAGATATTAAATATCAAAATGAATGTAAAGCATTTAGTAAGTCACGACCGTTTAATACTACTTTCTGGTTGGCTTATCTTAATAATGAACCCTATATTGCGTGCAGTAGTACCACCTCTATAGAAGGAGTCCATTTAATAATTTGGCTTAAATATTGGATCCCTGATTTTTCCCCAAATAAAATTTTCTACTATTTTTAGGAAAGGTTAGTATGAAATATTCTCAAATCTCTTAGTAGGGATATATTCAAGTGATATAATACAGACTTCTACCTATTACTTAAATAGTAGGGAAGCCTAAAAAAGAATACCCCTTACTTCTGGACAGAATTAGGTCAAATGACAAGAAAAATACTGACCAGAAACTTCTTAATTCCATATATAAAAAGTAACTTTTTGGGGGTGGGGTAGGTACCTGGGATGGAACTCAGGACCTCGAGCTACCCCCCACCCTAAGCCTAAAAAGCAATTTTCATTAAGGCACAAAGGCCCTAATCAGAGTCAGAAAACTGACTATTTTACTCAACAGATTATCAGTCCTGGCTCATTTCCCACTGAATGTTCATAAGAAATTCTCTTTCTCTGAAAAGAGGAGCACAGATTCAGGTAACTTCTTCAGGTAAAAATAAAGAAGCAACATGATTGCCTATCAGAGAGACAGGCAATTATCTCTCTAACGAGAGAAAGAAAGGAAGAAAAATAAGTAAGGATCTTGCTTTCCCAAAAACTCAATAGCATTTTTCCAAAATACACCCTTGTGACACAGTACAAAATGGAAGGAAAATTTTGTACTGATCCTCAATCACGTTAGCTGGGCTTTCCCTTAAACTTCCTAAAAGTCCTATAGAGAAGAAAAACCTAACAAATGACCCAGTACTTGAAACACTGGATTACTTAACTGTGACTCTTTGGTTTAAAGATGACATCAAATGTAAATAACATTCCAGTTATTAAAGCACAACAGTTATTGCTGTTAATATAAGGAAAACTGTTTTTACTAAATTGAGTTGGGAATGACACAAAAATATTCTGCACATAGTTTTGTCTAACAACAAAAAGTGAAGGTCTAAGTCTAATAAAAAAATTTTGTGTGTGTTTTGGTGCTACCCTTCTTCTCTTATCAAAACAAAACTTGAGAGTAAAAGTTTGTATTCGACTGAATTTCCCTCACTAGGCCGATTATCTTTCTCAAGTATTTCAACTCTATTATCTAAATATAAAGGGAATAATAATAATAAAAAAAACCATTACCCATGTGAAGGGAATTTTAGGCATCAGAAACCAGGCAGAGTTTAAGGTACAGTGTTTCTTATTACTGCTAAAAATCATATATTCTATGTTTACTCAGCTCTGAAGAGAAAAAACAATTTTGTCTCCTTAGGGTCAAAAGATTATCTGTTTTCTTTCTCCCAGAAGTGGGACTCAGGCTGTTTCCCTAAATAACCTTGGTTGGTGGAATGGCTCAAACAGTAAGAGTACCTGCCTAGCAATTGTGCATCTCTGAGTTCAAATCCCAGTGCTGTCATATGAAAGAGATAGGGAGAGATAGGGGGAGGGGGCAAGGGGGAGGAAGAGAGAGGGAGGGAGAGGGAGGGAGAGAGAGAGAGAGAGGGAGAGGGAGGGAGAGGGAGAGAGGGAAAGAGGGAAAGAGGGGGAGAGAGAGAGAGAGAACAAACTCTAACTAACCTTGGAATGTCCATGCTGTTGTATATGGCACAAAAGGATGTTCAATAAACTGGTTTCATTTTTAAAATGAGTTGCTGGGAGAAGGAACACAAACACACTTTATGTAACATTTGTTGGTTATAAACAGAGATGGAAATAGGGCAAGTAAAGAAAGGGCGGTTGTTTCTACCTCAACTTCTTTTTCTGCAGATCCTCTCTTCAAATTGTAAAAACATTCTTTTTTTTTTTTTTTTGTGGTACTGGGGCTTGAACTTAGGGCCTACACCTTGAGCCACCCCACTAGACTTTTGTTTTTTTGTGAAGGGTTTTTTCAAGATAGGGTCTCACAAACTATTGCCTGGGCTGGCTTTGAACTGTGATCCTCCTTTTCTCTGCCTCCTGGCCTGACTCACAGCACCCAGCTTCAAATTGTAAACATTGTATTTCCTCTCACATCAACAATTGCACACACCAAAAAGTCATGGCCTCTTCACCCCACTTGGGGGCCTTTTGCTCCCTTTCACAACACAGTATTACATTAATGTAGGTCTCTTCTCCCCTAAATTGAAGTAATCATGCTGCAGCTGTTGCATGGCCAGGCCACTTGATTTATGTTCCAGTGTTTGTCCAGCCAGGAGAAAGAAATGCAGGGAAAGAAAGATTTTAGTCAAGGAAGATTATGGTCAAGAAAATTTAGTACATGCATATAAGTAAGAGATGAAAATTAATTTTATTTGGTAGCAGAGAACCCCAAAATTTGGTAACAGAAAACTCAATACTAATGTCAATGATAGTGAAACAATTCATTACCCTAAAAAGAAACCTGTTTCCTCCTCTCTACTTAACTACTAACTTACTTTCTCACTCTGTATAAT